GATAAATTTCACACATACACCGTAATTAATCCATTTATTGCTAATTTCTTACAAAATAAAAGGATTTATGTAGTTTTAAAAGGAATGTGAAAATATTAAAAAGAAAACAAAAAAATTAAATTTTATTATATGTATGATCTGCTTAAATATTAGAACAAGTTAAACAGTAAAGCCGACAATAATAAAAGGATAGCAATGGTATAGATCCCAAGCGCTATGTTCATCTGTACCATATAATATGGAATAGGAATTGAGTTGTCTATAGATCTATTAATAATTTAATGTTTCAAATCTCTGATGAATTTTTTAAAATAGATTTAATTTCCATCCAAACATACAGCTAAGTAATCATTACATTTGCCGCTAATCTCTATTCATAGAGTTATTATAGAAAAATAGAAATTAACGAAGCAAAACTTTACATCTATTCTGAGTATGCGACTGTTATTAAGTCCTCTATTTTAGGATGCTTATTCTTCTTAATTTTGAAGCCACGGCTGTATTGCGAAAACAATAAAAATCTTTAAATTCATTTTATTCAACAATGAAAACTAATTTATCTTTTTTTGAATTATTATAAGACAAAAAAAACCTTTCTGAGTATATTTACGTACTTATCCAAATGTACTAAGTATGAATAAATTTCCGGCACACAGTAGATATTATTATATGTAGAACTTTTATAAAGATTTTTTAAGATATGTAATAGGTACGTTTTTAGGCACATAATTATTGTTTAAAAACAAGAAACAAATATTTTCTCTTCTTAGAAGCAATAAGTTTACATGGGAAACGAGATAATGAGGTAATTAGAATCTTTAACAGTTACACCACAACTGGTTAGCAATGTCCAGTTACATGTACATATATACAGTTGCAAAATATAGATTTTTAAATTTGTTTTTTATATCACATATCCTTTTTTTCAGTATTTTAGAGCACAACTTTTGTATTCAATTCGATTTTCTCCCTGGTTCATGTTTGAACGATTTAATCCTAAAATTCTTCTTATCGTAATTAACGTGCCCACTACGTACATAAACACACTATCAAAATACATATATCTAATAAGTATTTATCACAACCGTCTGCATTACACTTGTAACAAAGCTTGCGTATTCGAGTTTTGATTCCATAAACAGAATTTACATATGACGCCAATGGAAAAATAAAGTATATTTTCTTATTTATTTCATTTCACTGTCAAAGTATACTTTTTACACGTGCGGAACTGTTGCATTTGAGCAATTTGAAAGACAATCAGCGGCAGACCGACAGATATCTAGCCACACGGACACGGAACGTCGAGCGCGAGCACAGCACACAACAGAGCAGCGAGCAATTTATTGTACTAGATTCATTCGTATCGTTGATAACTTATTGGACAAACGCATGGGAGGAGACGGGGTCAAATGAATTCCTCTTATTGCGAACGAATACCAGAACTCGGGAGACTCACTGAAATTCCACAACTTTAAATTCAATTTACTCCTTCTCACCTTGCATAAATACACTTTATAAACATCACATAACAGTATATTCACAGTAAATAATATTTTGAAAATATTTTTGTTCGATTTCGACGCGTCTAATTGGAAAATAATAATGGTAAAAAGTTTAGAGCACACGCAAAGAACTATGAACAATAGCAAATGCAACGAGATGATGTTCGACGAGTATGTATTCGGTCAAATACACTCGTTGGTACTGAAAAATTAATTGTACGCAGTGTTGCACTTTCACACTAAATTTTACCACAATATATTAAGAAAAAGTTGAACAATATGATTATATTATAATTAAGGAGTGCTTAAATTTGGTCTGCTAATTTACATAAATATAATTTTACATAATAGCACAATTTTATTCTTAATTTGGGATTGTTGGAATATGAAATATTTGAGCGCGTAAAGTTTGCGGAGTTAACACTACTTGAAACAGCTGTTTCAATTCACCTTTAATTTTAGGTTATTTCTAATTTCATATACAATTACTTTGTAGGTAGGTCGTAAACTAAACCGCAGTTAAAAGAAATATAAATATAATACAATATGGGTAAAGTCATGTCAATGGTCGCCAATAAAATGAACCGATTCAATGTGGAAAATAGGGCACATCGCATACTAGAGCGTGACAAACCTGTGCCGGCACCGAAATATGAATCCAATATTCAGGATATGCAACGAGCTCTTGAATGTAAATATGAAATCATTTGATGACTAAAAATGTAAATTTAGATTAATTCTATTTATTTAGTGGATCCGCAGCTGGTTGATAAACTGAACAAAAAAGATTTAGCATTGGATGATCGATTAAAAAATGTTTATGTAACTTCCGAGGATAAATTTGTGGGTTAAATAGGTCTTAATGACCAATTTTTCAATATGCATTAAATAATTTCATTACAAATAGATTGACTATGCTGCACAGCGCACAGACCCTAATAAACCGCTTCCATTAAGTAGAAAAACTCCACAAGATTTCGAGTATGGATACAGAGAACCAACACGGGTTGTGGCGGGACGTTGTACTCTGCGACAAGCGATGCAATTCATAACGGACCATCAAAGTGACCCGGAATTGTGGACGAAACAAAGAATTGCGTCAGACTATAAATTGAAAGAAGAAGTTGTCGGTAAATAGGTTATTTTAACTACTTGTTCTGCCGGTTTTAAATAATAACCATATTTTTTAGGTAACGTTCTTCATTATTTTAAAAGCTTTAACGTGTACATCCCAGATAAAGGTCAAAAGGAACGTATTCTGTCCCAATCCAGTAAGAAATTAATTGAAAGCAAGTCAGAAGATTAATACCCCCGCCGTTACACTAGAAAAACGGTAGTCTTGTTACTTCTATCAACAAGATATACCACACTTTGTCGTTTGAGAAATACGTTAAAGCTCAATGTAGTCGATAGTTGATAAGTATAAATAATTGTTATCAAATATGAATTAAATGCTAAAAATATCCGCGTCGAAATCGAACCGATTTTATATTACATTTTTTATTGAGTTTTGTTAAACAATAATATTAGGCGGACAATTATACAGATTCAAAGATTTGTCTTCCGATACAGATATAACTTTGTCATCTGATAAACTGTATTTTACTCCCCAAGCTTGGTCACTATGTTCTGAAAATGTATGCATGCATTTGCGTTCGGCGAAATCCCAAATTTTTACGCTCATATCACTAGAAGAAGAAGCGAAATGTTTGCCATCTTCCGAGAACGAAACACACAGCACCCACGAGGCATGACCAGATAAAGTCCCCGCTACGTCCGAATGAGCTCTATAAAAATTGTGATAAAAACTCATAGTAAATGTAGTAGGTGTAAACATTATATACATACACATCGTATAGTTTCATATGTCCATCATCTGAAGCAGTTAGCAGCATCTGCGAGTTTGGCGAAAAGCACAAGCTTCTAACCGACATGGCATGACCTTCCAAAGTTTGCGCCACTTTGCCTGCAGCCACATCAAATATAGTAATAATGCCATCTATAGCCCCACTTGCTATGTATTTTCCATCTGGACTCTACAATTATATTATTGGCATTATATTCATATTTTATAGTTTTATATGTACGGTCAATACACTTCTTCTTAAACTTACATAGGCAATGCTTAGCGTAAATTTTCCATTTTGGGGATCTAATACTTGCTCCACCTTTCCAGTTTCAACGCTATACATTGAAATTTTTCCATCATTAGATCCCGAAATCACATATTTGTTGCAGGGAGAAAAAGCTACTGTCCACAGATCAACCGGCCCAAACGAAAGCAAATGCTTTTGTTGCCCAGTTTTAGAATCCCAAAAGCAAAGACTAGAGTCTAAAGAACTACTAGCGATTGCTAAATAAAAACAATAACATCTTGTAAACTATTTTCATTAGTTCAACGCTATTGACACTCACTTTTTCCATCTGGACTGACAGCCACAGAAACAACACCTAAAGAGTGTCCTTTCAAAGTGTGACGTAGTTTTAATTGGTCATCGTCTCGAATATCCCACACTTTCACCAAATCATCCAGTCCGCCTGTTACAATAAAGTCAACCGGTTCTGGCTTCTTTTTACCGTACATTGAATCATTGCTAGCGTCCGGGTCTTTTTCGGGGTCAGCATTATTTTCGGAATCTCCCTCTTCTGGATGTAGGCGTCCCCAAGAACATGACCAAATCTAAAATATAAAACATATTTGTACTCTAACAACTCTCAATTTCCACATGCTAAACAATCTTACTCCATCGTCGTGTGCAGCCTCTTCTTTATGCAACAGGGAGAACTAGAATTACATTCAAAAATGTAAGTTATAAAAGTGGCATAAAGCACAATTTATATTTTCTACCTACCATTGCTTTAATTCTATAAAACTAGCAACAGTTTAAATTATATTCACAATTTGCCGCACACTTTTTGCCACAAATTCCAAATAAAAACAAATTGTAAAAATCAGATACAAGCTTACCATATTGCAAAAATATGAGGTATTACCATATTCATGAATTAATACTTATAAAAACATTTGAAGTAAATGTTAATTTATATTTATTAATATAAAGAATATTTTGAAAAAAACCCTTAAAGCTCTTTTTATGTAAAATTTAGAATAATTAATAAAACTGAAATTATATTAATAATCCACTGAAATAGTGATGCCACTTAGAGTTTACTTCAGCATATTTCAACATACTTTACTAAAAAACGGTTTAATTTTTGAAATCTAATTTATAATTTTAAAACAGTATTTCTTTATAAATTTATTATACCGTTTAAAAGATCTTAATAAGTTGAGCTCATTGACAATTTCAATGAGCTGCTTTGAGAAATTGGTAAAGACACATTAAATGGTAACGTGTGTACACTTTAAAATCTACTACTACAAATGTGGGGGATTTTCCCAGTAATGCATTTTGGGGCCTAATCTACCTGTCACTGCAGTCATTTCTCGTGAAACGGCAGAGTTGAATGTGGTGAACGGTTTTGGTGAGCGCATTCATATTAATCCTTATTTCAGAAATATAAATAATTTAGGAGTAGAAGCTCCTCAACCGCTCGATAACAGATAACATATTTAATACAAATTGAAATCACAGTGTGAAAAATTTGATTGAATTTATGTGCAATTAAACGAAAAATAACCGATTGTTACGAAACAACGAGTGAATGAATGCATTGAAAATACACGATAATAAAAAAATGTAAGAATAGTAAAAGCAAAGAAATTGAGCAGAAAATATGGCGATAGCCGGAGAAAATCCAAATAAAGAAGTGAATGCTAAACAAAAAATATATTTTTAAGTTATTTGGTGAAATCTTAAAAATCTGTGTGCTTTCTAATGTACAAAATCGATTGTAAATCAAATAAGAGCTCCAATTTATTTTTGGCGTTATAAAAAATTAAAAATTGTTCTCTGCGGCGCGTGTGATTAATCAGATTCTTATTTGTATATGTATCTAAATATGTTGGATACTTTGGATACTCCTGCGCATAAGAGTCGAATTTGAGTGGACGGATAAACGTTCAGAATTAGTCAGACAGTAAACAGTATGGCCGGTGCCTTCTGTTGGAGCACTTAACATTAATGGGAAACATTTTCAAATAAATACTTTGCAGTTCTTTAGAATTTTTTGTAGATTATGCTATAATAGATATTTTGAAATGATAGTGTTATTGACATAACACCTACTTGTTTGTCGCAGTAATGATTAGACATTGTTAGGGTTTAAGTTAGGAAATGAGATTGATTGAAACTAATTTTTCTTATTGTTAATTTTTTTATGCTTTTGATAATTTTCATTAAAATAAGAAATAGTCCAAAAATATCCTGCTTTAACAAACATACACATGTGCACGTGGTATATGCAATTACATATGCATACATCCATATATGCACACTTATTGTACATATGTACTTCGTCGTGCTGTTTCTTATAAACAAAAGTGCAACCGGTTTTTTTAATGAAATTTTGTTTTCTATGTTCGTCCCTATTTTCTATTATCGACTAAAATTCGACGTTTAATTGTAGTACGAGGTCTCTGTTGAACAAAAGAGATACAACACAACCAACCAAAATCGAAAAATAGTTTAAGAAAAAATAAAACGTTTGGAAAATATCGAGAAATGTAAGTACCAGTAATTTGCGTATATTTAGTATTATGTATTATCATACATAAATAAGTACATCTAGTAAATAAAATAATAAGTATATGCTTAAGACAGAAATTTTGAATTGATTTTAGGTAACTTCTGATTTGGAATGGTATAAACAATGTAGTTTGTTTATTTCTAAGCAGATAAATATTTATAGTTTAAATATTTTGAAAAATTGTTTGCTATATGAACAAATTTTAATTTAATTTTAACAGAATTCTTATTGCAAAATTTGTATTGCAAAAAATAAATAACTTCCAATAATTCCAGTAAAATATTCATATTTCCATTTTGTTCCAAATTTCGCTCTGCATGAGTAGGTATGTACATACATATGTGCTAAATAGCCAGGTGCGAACAATTGTCATTCTTAAAATAGTTGTTCGACACTCAGTCGTAGAGTTCAGCGTTGGTAAAATATAAGCATAAATAGCTGTGTTTTGGCGTTAAGCATACAAACCTTTGTATAAATATACATAATGCATGCATACAAATACTCTTACCTAAATAAATACGTCTGTATATGCATACATATGTATGTAAGTACGTTGCATGTACCCGTGAATTCACTTTTATAAATTTAGGCATAATAACAAAAAAATTTGCATGCAACGGTAAAATAAAATAATTATTGATTTCAAAGCGATTGTTCACAATACTTAAATTCGGCTCAGGCGACAATAAAATGTTGGTCAGTAATAATTTAGTTTTTAGTTGAAAAGTTGATTTGATTTTCTTGTGGATATTGAAAATCGCTACTTAAACTTTCTGAACAGATTATTGAATGTTTATTGAAATTCAAATATTAACTTCAACACAAAAGTTATTTTGCTTGTGAGGTTTTTGGGAAAAACAATGCTACGTCCTTATCTTATCGCGCGTAGCATGCAGCAGTTATCTGACAATACTATCATTTACAACTTTACGGTTCTGAAAGAAGTAAAATACAAAAATGCTAGATATAAATATGAAAACAACAACAAACAAAAAATAAATAAACGCGGTAATTATAAACGCGAATGAAGTCACTATCATTCGCTATTTTTAACAAACTAGTAACCGCTGCATCGCTGTTTTGTGTTGTTGTTGTAGCCTTAAGTCATTCTCCACAATGCTTGTGAATGCTTGGCGCTGCCTCTATTAAAATAACAAAAGAAACTCCGTCATATAATTTAAACTTTTTTAGAGTCCAAGTTGAACTTTTTCGCTTGTTCCTATCTAATGACTGCACAGCGCTTGCTTACCTAAGTAAGAGCGTATCTTTTTTTATATTGCTTTTCCTTCGCTTCAAGACTTCGCCTGGGGTTAGGTGTCGCAGACTGGCATGCCAATGTGCCGCTTTTCGCTCTCCTCATTCACAAATGCCACCGAGGCTTGGCATTTATGCATTTGAACTATTTTCAGCTGTGTTTGCTCGTTGTAAATTCACCTTCTGCCCGTGGAAAAATATACCGAACAAAGCGTTAGACAAACCTAAAATATTTTATTATGCAGTGCTTTGAAGAGTGGTCAACAGACGTTTAACTTTAATTGTTGCATGCTAAATGCATTCTATGACATCGTACTTTGAAAAATATCCAATATCAAAAACATGTCTCTGCTTTAAATTTTAGCTTATGAATTCTTAGTACATATTTCAGTTTCTAAGCCGGCGATAAGCATATTTTTGAACTTCGAACAGTTTGTTTATCGATTAATAAATGTATTTTTCTTCCTTTCGATTTCAGATATTGATCTCGTTTCAAAAAAAAACGTCAGATGCTCTTAAAAGTATATAAGATCAGTGAAAAGTGACAAACTGAATCGATTAGCCATGTCTGTTTGCATATATGTACGATATGAGATATCGGTCTGAAATTTTGCACACGTCCTCTTCTGTTTTAAAAACTACTCATTCTAAATCAATATTAAAATATTAAAAAAAAAACCATAATTGTCAAGTCTTATAGTTCTTCGCATGGTATATTTTTCTTTAACGCCAGCATGTTCCCTTATATTTTAACGGCATAAATTTGCTTCAGTTTTCATTAACAAATTTCCGCCCGGTTATAATGCAATTCATAATGCTCCAATAATCTTCACCTAGGGTATCACCAGCGTGAATGCAGCAATTTCTTTCATCTCCCAATATACATACAGACACACAGCGTTATATCATGCATACATACATACATACATATGGGTATATGTATACTTGTAACGAGTGAATGCACAATAAATTTAGTTGATTATTAAGCTGCTGTCTGCCCGGCAGATAACAACTTAGTCGTAGCCCAGGCAACGAACGCGTTAGCTCAGCTGCAAAGTTCATGACCGGCACAAAGCGCTGTACTACAACTTATCGCACTATTATTCTGGTGTGAATATGAAAAGAAACAAACAAAAGCGATGAAGACAAGGAAAGCGCCCGCTGTAGATAGCTTATGCTTGTAACACATACACACATACATGTATATTCTATATGTATGTTCATATGATGCGGCGATAGCACGATGTTAATGATTACGACAATGACGAAGGCTCTGAATGAACGGCAGAAAGACTTTTTTTTGTCAGCTGCGACTAAGTTGTGTCGAATAATTTAAGCAATCATTGACGGAATGACTCAGAAGCGCTCAACCCACGGCTAGATGACTTGCAGAGCTTCGAGGCGAGTTCAACGTAACTAGCACGCTACACGTTGTCACTTAGTAATTGATTTGAATGCTTATTTACACTCTCCGTTACTAAAATGCCCAGCTGCACGCTTGAATATTTCCAACCACATTACTTGTAATTTAGTATGCAATGCCAACAGCACCAACCGTATGGCTAAAGCTGCTGCTGATTTTGATGCTGACAGTCAATTGCTGAAAATAATTAAGTGCTGCTCGCTGCGCCAAGTCAGTCAAGGTCAGTCAGAAGCTCTACAGCTTTCACCCTATGCAAGTGAAACGCTTCAGGCGGCTATTTTCTTGAGCACCACATAAAAATAGCATGTAAATATCTGAATTTTTTCTGTATGACACAGCACTAGATATGTAGTCACATATTAAAAAGCAAAAACCGAAAAGCATACAAATTGCTTGTGCGTTCTCGTATGCTATGCGTATCTGGTTGGCGCCTCTACGTCTTGTTGGTATGATGTCATGCATGAATGTGGCTCCAAGTTGACGCTTTGAAAGAAAGGACATGCACATAAAAGAATTGGCTGCACTGGTTGCTCACCCTGCCGACACAAATAGAATGTTTTCTCAGATATGTATGTATATGCATGTAGTTGTTGTGAAACCTAAAAAGTTCAATGTATGTATTTTTTTGGGCTGCGACACTTAGTTTTCTCCCTTTCTTTCTATTGGACGTTGCAGCGCTGCATTTACTCTAATAAATTCCACTTCAGCTTTTTTTATTTCCCTAGTTTGATAATTGCAGAATTGATTGTGGCATGAAGTTTTAATTTTTATTCTTCATAATTAATACTGTGAGGTTAGGTGCGTTAAGGTCTCATCAGAAAGCAAAAAGCTTTCCATGTCAATTTACCCATCAGTTTTCAGATACAGCTTTAATTTTTTTTTAGGTTTTTGGATTTGAAATAATTTTAAGTAGAGATCAAAGTGAAGTAAATTTACTTTTTATTTATTTCTTAAATGAAATGAATTTTTAAATAAAAATGTATAGAAAGTGTGTTTCATAGTTGTAAGTGGATATACCATGATATTAACTCCTTTACATTTGCTTTATAACGTTTTTCAGAACTGGTTGTTTATGCTATAAACTTTAGAGAGTATTTAAAAGGCTTAAGTGTTTATGAATTCAATATAATTTTACACATAAAAAAGTTGACAGAAGATGATATATAAGAAAACATCATATGTCAATCCACATTGTCTTCGAAAACCCCTCTTTTAATATAAGAAACTCCGATTTTTTTTTGTTCGCAAACAGAACAATCGTATACAATTTTCCCAACACTACTGCAGGATAACTAATGTAGCGTAAGTATTTACAGTCCAACCATTATGCGATTTTCTTGCCGCCATTTTCCACCAACTGAAATGCTAACGAGTTAACAAATTCGTTACACCCCACATAGATCAACGGGTATTTTTCATCGCCATATTTTCCGCCCTATTCTTTTGATGCTTCCCTTTGTGTGAGGCATTGTGCACTTTATGCACTGTGACTTGCAGTAATAGCATCGCTAGCGTTTGCACTCTTGGCACCATTTCACTTGAACATTTCGCGTTCGAACAACAAACCCAGTTTTAAGAGCAGTTGAAGTACATCTACATATGTACATAAATATGTATGTATGTGGGTCTATTTGTGCAACAAACAGCACTCTGCACTTCCTGGCGTCGGCAACATTCACAAACTTTGTCACAGGCCATTATACAAATTGTTTTTATTTCTTAGCTTACATTTTGCTGCAGAAAAGTTATAGAAATATGAGTAATCCAGCATCACAATTGACACATTTAACAACTATATATTATTTATGTATACGACTGCAACGAATTTTATATTTGCGACAACTGATTTATAGAAAGAGCACAAACGGTTTTCGAATCGATAATGTTTTCTCTTCCTCTTTCATTTAATGTCAAATAATATGGTCAACATTTTCTTTGAACAACATGGTTGGTGCCAGTGCAATAGCTATCAAACTTCCGCATAAAGAGATACTATTTTTCTATCTTGAATCAGCTTGCCATGATGTTTGTAACACTCAGAATAATATCGCTGTTGAGATATCGCTGTGAAATTATGCGCATATCCTTTTCTTCCAAGAAGCTACTCATTTGTCGGAAACGCTGATATCAGACCACTACAGCATATATCTGCCATAAAAACTGATCGATCAAAGTCAAGTTCTTTTAAGAAAAAGTTCAAACATTCAAAGCTGGAGTATTCGTTTCCATCCGGACAACATGACCTATTCAGCGCTGTTGATGTCTCTTGATTCGATGAATTATGTCAATGTCGCCGTATCGACCGCGGTACTCGCTGTTACCAATGGGCAAAATGCCATAAGTCGTCTGCAAAACTTTCCTCTGAAACACTCCTAAGGCTGACTTATCAGATGATATCATTGTGCATGCCTTTGCAGCGTACATATAATATAGCATGACGGGAATGATGATGCAGAATTTGGTCTTTGTTCGTCGAGAGAGGAGTTTACTATTCAGTCCGAAGTGACATCTGTTAGCAGATTTATTGTGCGTTTTTGTTAGTGTTTATGCTGGTCCCTAATTATACGAAATCATCTACGACTTCAAAGTTATGATTGTCAATAGTAAAGTGCGATGACTGTTTGTTTGATGACAGGAGATATTTCGTCTTGTCCTCGTTTACAATCAGACCCATGTGCTTCGCTTCCTTATCCAGCCCCCTGCTGCTTTGTTGTTCTTCAGGCGAGTAATTGCTATTCGAACCTGATCATAGTCGGGAAATCGAATATCTATGCCATCGTCATCGATTGGGAAATCGGGTTCGCCATCTCCAGATGTTATACTTTCACTGCCGTTCAACAGGCTGGAGTAGCGTTCCCGCCATAACTTCAGTATGCTCTGAATATCAACCACTAGATCACCATTTTGGGCCCTACAAGAGTTTGCTTCAATGTCTTATGTCTTAAGAGAAGGGTAGTCTAGCCTCGGTGCAACCGAAGTTAATCGACAGTGCTTACATGACTGCCGGACTCTACGATCTCCATTATTTAGCCCTATTTTCGGCTATTGGCCGTCCAAAATATGGAAAATTTATCTGAACATTTCGCTTTTGCAAGAAGTAATGTAAAAATGGCGTATTTTCTGTTTGCTGGTTATCATCATTATCAAACAAACTGAGTCAAGCGATCACAAACTTAATTTTGCTAATAAAAACATTCTACTTATACGACTTTTCCATTTTTAAGCTTTCATGAAATCTTTATAAACATTTGTCTCATTTGACAATCCCTTCAATTTCTATGGAATTGCTTGAAATACTCTTTGGCAGCGCAATTTCAAATTTCGTGTATGTTTATGCAAATATTAAGCTCGTATGCCACTAAAAGCGCGCACCAATGAATATGCAAACACATTACGGTACGACCAACAAATTAGATTTAAATATATTAAATGATAAACTCGGCAAATATAATAAAATCGTCAGTCTATGATTACCCTCAGTAGCATGACCCAAGAGTAAAACTCTGCGCTGAGCCGCTAATGCGGATTTTATCTAAAATCAGTAAAATGCAGTAAAAGTAATTAGGGCGAACCAAGGCTTAGGCATAGCGGCATACAGCGCAAGCAACACACGTGTGCCCATATAATTATTTGTATGTATTATGGTAATATATATACATTAGATAGGTATACACGTTGCGTGTGTGTGAAATGCATGCATAACCCGTATATGCATGCATATGCACTTGTATATATGTAATTGAAAATGTTATGAACAACGTCACAGGCAGCATGAAAGAAGTCACTGAAGCTTGAAAATTTCAAATATGAGCGCAAGGCAAATGCGAGCGCGAGCATTTGCGGAACGAGTACCTTTTAGGCGCCCACAGAGGTGAACATTTGATACAAAAGCTCATGGCATATAAGACATACACACATACAAACATTGTTTAGATTTACATATTTTATTAAATATTCCTATATACACTCGTTTACATGCTGACATCGTTGTTGGTTGAAAAAATGACGGCTGTAATGCATTTCTGTGTAGTTGAATGTAAAATACATATTAACACTGATTGGCAGAATCGTATAGCGTGTTTCAAAGGCGGACAGGTGTTGTGCCTCACGAACGCACGAACGCGTGAGCGCGTGTATAGGCGTACAAGCGACGGCAAGCAGAATGGGAAGAGGTTAATAAGCAGCTGAGTCGGGCCGGCCAGCCTAGCTGGTTGGTCCATTTGTTCATTCATTTATCGAATGGTGAGAAAATGTGTTTTTACAAAGACGCCCTTTAACAAAACACACTTTTTTGGGTTAGATAAATGCTGCCCATAGGCAATTGCAACTCTGCTTGCATGCGAAATCAACTCTAAAATTGTTAACACTCTGACATTTACTGCTTCTGTCAATTGATTTTTTGTTTATTGTTGCAGACTTTGTGAAAATAGTTCTCAATTGTATGGATTTCGATTTAAGCGTATTTCGATGCATTTAAGCACTTTTCAGTATGATGTATTGATTTAGTCGAAGGTCAATCATCACAGAAGATTGCAGATCCGAAGAGAGGTTTTTCTCGGCGGCGGCAGAACTTTGGCATGATATTCGGCTGATTGATTGTCTGTTCCCGAGCCGTAAACATAGATCTTAGACTCATAGCCAGAAATAATACTTTTAATGTTATTCTGGTAGTCGCAAAGCATTGTTTCACAGACTTTAAAGCGACGCTATTGTTCGAAAAAATTTAGTATTTTTAAACCAATCGTGCTTTCACTTTTCTTAGGTCCAAATAATCTGATCCGATATACCGACGTTGTCAGTAAGATCCCTAACTATTAATCGTTGATTCTCAAACCTCAATTTCGTTATTTTATTGACGTGTTGAACATCAGTTGCTGTTGATGGCCGTCTTGAACGTGGTTCGTAGTCAACGCATTCTCGACCTTCTTTGAATAATTTGTTCCAATCAAGAACACTTTCCCGCGGTAAACAATTATCACCGAAGGCATGTTCCAACATGCGGAACGTTTCGGCACCAGAATTTTGATTTGGCGCACAAAATTTAATGGAACTTCTTTGTTCTGCAGGTTCTTTATGAGAAAAAAACATGTTCAAAATGTTACAAAGAGACTAGTTTGCATATATAGAAACAGATGGACATGTTTAAATTTACTCAGCTCATTTACCTGTTTACATACAGTTTTAATAGGGTAGTTGACATTTCCTTCTGTCTGCTACAAACTTCTTGGGAAAGTTGATACAGGGTATATTATATACATATATGTATGTATGTATATAGAGTATAAAAAAAGTGTTTTAAAAGTGTCTTATTTTAAAATTCTAATTTTAAACAAGTATGTATATTCATATTTCAAGAAACCGATTCAACTTAAATTTCGAGTGTGAGTACTGGAAGAACTGCTTTAATAAACCTCTCAAGTACTTGTGATAGTACAGATAAAGCTGTCAATATTTATTGGCGATTGACTTTTATTGCTGAGAGAACTCAAAATATATATTATTAACATTATATTGTTTATAATATTAGATAAAGCAATATTCTCAATTTACTCAGTATACAAACCATAAAGTTTAACACACATAAAGTTTCGTAACATATATTTCCTTTTAGAAAAGAAAAAAGTCGCGATATCTCGAATATGATAAGTCGATATTTAAGTACAGTTGTTCCAAGTAAGTAATTTAAGAACTCATCAACTATTTTGTAATCTCCTCGGTTCTCTTAAATAATTATACTTCATGGATAACATATGGGAACATACAAATATACTCCCTGATAGATATGACTTTGGAGCAAAGAAATCCAAATGGGAATCCGTATCTCTTGCCTACTTTTCTGAAATTAAATACCACTTATACAAACATACATACTTATATACATATTTAATTTGTTTCTGGCCACATTAAGCCTCACTCCCCTCTTCACCACACTACACACTGCACTACGATTGTAGCGAAAAAGAAGCATAACGAAAGCGAAAAAACATACAAACTATATAAATAAAACAAAATGCAACGGAAAACTAACTTTTTATTTGACTTAACGTATTCAAATTTCATTGCATTTGTGATAAGTTCAGTTCCTCTTCGTCCGCTGCGTAGTGTTCGCCATAATATTGGGTGTCGATGTCATGACGCGTTGTTGTTGCTGTGCAGTTCAACTCTCGTCACCAGTTTTGCTATGAGCGCCGGGGTGATGTTTTGGTCGACTTTGTGCTGAAGTGTTGTTTTTATTGTTATTTGATTTAAAGTGGTGTACTTGGTATTCTCCTGCTGCTGACAATGGCTTTGTCACTTGACTTTGTCTGTGAGTAGGTCTGTCGTTCAATTGAATTCAAGGTCAGAGCGATTTTTTCAACGTGCTTCAATTTCAACGACGGTGTAATATTGCACGCCGGTGTTGGTAGGGTTAACGAGCGCTAAACAAGGAAGAAGAAGCCTAAACAGAAATCATAAACAAATGCGTGGTGTTGTGAAGTTGTCGGCTCTCACTTTACGTCGGCGCGTGTTTAAATGAAACAGTAAGTGTTGATTAGGCGAAGATTTCGACAATTCGTTTACTCTAATTATCAGCGCTTGAGTGCCGAGTGTTGATTGCTTTTATACGCCTCTGTGTTTGGCAAATATGTTTTGACCATTTTTCTGTGTTTTTTATTTTTTTTTGTTTTTCACATTATTTTTTTAACTTTTTACTTCTAAATATGTTTTAGTTTTTAAGTTTTCACACTTTTCTGTCTTTTTTTTCAGATTTCCGCTAAAGTATAAAAACAAGCTATACCTACATAACGGTACATCAACTCAAATGCTTTAAAAAGTACACATTTTAAATATTATTTGAGGTAAGTGGAGTAAATATAAAATACACAAACAATAAGAACTCTCAGTATGTACATTAGAGCGGGTCGCATTTAAGTTTTATATAAATCAAAATAAATTTGTTCGTCAGGTTCTGAGATATCCCAATAAAATTTAATATGTGCATTTTGATATTTTATTAATCCATTATTTACATACAAGCGATTATTCAGATAATTTAACTTCGCGCTTAAAATCGCTGGTTCGAAACCGGTTTTAGACTCATAGTCTGTTAATCAAAGTTGTTCAGAAAAACCCATAAAACGTCTAGCGCATACGCGATTTTATAAAAATTAAAATCGACCCTCTCTAATGTACATATTCATATGCTAATTCGTTTGGATGTATGTATGTATGTATGTATGTGTCTTGCAGAACTGAACAAAGGGCATAGTTTACTGGGTCAATAGCTTTTTAAAGCAGCAGCCGATAAATACAGTTTGGCTCTCTCTAAAAGCCAAAGCATAAAAACTAGAGAAGAATTGGTTGACTTGCTTAGTTATTCTGAGAAGGCACGAAGCGCATATACGCAATGTATTAGTAACGGGTTATCCATTTTCCATCAAATATGAAATAAACTAACTTTGTACATCCAGAGGAAACGTCGAAGACCTTATATAATGATCAGCGTTACCAGCATAGCCGATTTAGCTATGTATGTTCGTCTGTCCCTTCCCAGTTTTGGAGATATCAATCTAAGATTTTGTACACGTCGTTTTTTCCTTAAGAATCTGCTCAATTGCTTGCGATATCGGACCACTATTTGGTATAGCTGCCATACAAACTAACCGATAAAAATCATGTCTTTTTGAGTTAAAATTTTTTATTTGACGAGATATCTTCAGGAAATTTGACATAGATTATTGTACAAGGCAATGTTACAATCTCCAAATCAATTACATAGATCGCTCTACATAGCTATATAAATGCAAGCTGGCCGATCAAAATCAAGTCAAGAACTTTGTTTTTGAGAAGCTTTTTTATTTGCGAATGCTATTATAGCTCCGGGGTAACCGATAATAACGTTTCGTACTTCTTCTTTTTTACATGATATGCTATACTTGGAAACCACCCTAATTCGTTCTTCAGATTTTTTTTACTTGAATACTTTTAATGATTTCGTAAATGTCAAACGTTCCGCTTGATAGCCAAGCTATCGTACTCTCACTGGGAGTCTCCGCAACATAGCCACCTACGCGGCCAACAATTTACTTAACTCGTATAAAAATACATTTGGATCTGACAACCGATCGCTAACTAAATATCATCGCTTAGCAAGTTGTATGCAACAAAATTGGCAATCGATGCACATCCACCTATACGGTGGAGCCACTGACAGGCACTCACTAAGGTCTGGCTGAGTGTATGTCTGCATGCCCAAAGTGCTAAACGTTTAATACAAGTACATATGGCAATTTATTTTTAATGTGCTTGCCATGTGTAGGTACAACATTTTTTACTCGCGCATTCGCGCTATTTTTGTTATTTACAGTACTAACTCAATCATACGAACATGTCGATCCAGCGATCGTCAATACATTATTTTTGTTTAATTTTAATATTTTTTATTTAAATATTTATTTATTTTTTGTTTTGCTTTGAACAGATTTTGAAAAGCGGTATGCTTCATGTAAAAGCAAAATTAATTATGTCTGCATCTAATGTTTCACTTTTCGCGGCTCCACTGTATTTATCTCGATTTTTGATTATCTATCGTTGCACCTACAACTCAGTGGAAATCAATTTACTTTTAATTGGCCTCCGCGTTTGCGAAGCCAACTGATTGCCGCGAACTACGTCGCGCCCGTGCTCGCGTTGGTCTACTCCTCATGCCTGCTGATTTGCCTTGATGGCGCTTTCACAAACCGCAAATTCTCAGTTTTACAGGCGGTTGCGGTCGATTAAGTTTCGAAAAATTTCGGCAATCTTCTGCACATAAACGTTTAAAGCATGTAGAAAATTAAAAGTCTTAGACTCTTTTAAAATAATAAAAAATAAAAGTGAAAATTTTGTTAATAAATCATTAAACGCGAACACCGTTTGTAGCTAACGAAGCTGTGATTAAAAATGTATCATAATCATGAAAACCTAAAGCAAGTGCGGTGAATTTGAAATTGTGCGTTCATGCCGAAAGTTATGTAATTAATGAGAACCAGAAAATTTAAATTGAAAAAATTAAGTTCGATAATGATTAAAACATCTAAATGAATGCAGTGTAATAAATATTTGGTATAAGTTTGTTTTGTTATTTATAAAAGTGAAAAAAATATTTTTGGTTTAATATGGTACGGATTCGCATATAAATATAGTGTATTGAAATGATTATGTAATTTGAAAAAGTAAAGAGACATGTAATAAATAAGAAACTTAACTTAAATGTACCTGACAACATAAATTCAAAGAAAGTATACTTGAGAAAAATAAAAATTAACTATGACGCAAGATTTTAAAAGAAAAAAACCTAAAATTGAAAAGAGTAAAGGAAAAAAGAACAAAAATTGGCACCTGCAGCTTAGCACCACACTTACCACGAAGGTCTAAAAAAAAACAACAAATTATAAAAAGAAATATTTTATCAATAGCTTTAAAATTTTAAAATAAAACAAGACCCAGAAAACAAATTCTTACTAGAAGATATAGTTGAATTTTTTTCAAAATTTCGGCTTTATTGGCCTGCTAAAATACAAAAAGATCGTATCGGTGAATTTCATGAGCCTCATCGCTGAAGATGATTTTACGATGAAAATACGGATCATTTTCAAGTTGTTGCTCAGCCCAATTCACCAACATACGACGACTCTGGTGGTCAAGCGGGGTTAGTTCTCGCATTTGATCTTATAACGATGTAGGCCAAGATCTTTTCGCAAAATTCGTCACAACGACGTCACAGAGATGCCCAACGCTGGAGAACGACGTGTTAGGGACTGATTCGGGTCTTCCTCAATTGATGCGCCAGCGGCAGCAATATTCTCGACTCTACGAACATCTCTTATTCTCTCTGTCACAGGACCATTTTGTACTGTGCTTGTGGATTAAAATTTTCCCACGCCTGATTATGACGACCTTAAATTGAAAGTTAAGCCGCGATTCCGAATTTCGGTAGTAAATTTGAATAATTTTGACTCGTTGTTCGTTACTGAAGAGAAATGTTAAAAGAGCTAGAAAAAATATGGCGCCATTTGCTGTCTCTATCGATCTACTTTTGTAGCGTCCCTGTTGAAAACCCCGTTATGCATATATTGAACACTAAGCAAAAATTGGTGATCAGTTCATTCGTTTTTAAGGAAAACGTGTTTAAGGTTGTAACTCAAAAACGCTTTGGGATATCGATTTAAAATTTTAGTATGTTCATTTGAAATGTATTATAACCTATCGAACAATGAATTTTTTTTACTAAACTGGTCGGTATAGCATTCAGAATTTTTATAGATTTAAGTCCTAACCTTACCATAAATTGACATTAGATTATATATAACTGAAGTTGCTATAAAATACAAGATTTACGTCTGAATTTAATTCAATTCCTTAACATTGTGGAATGTGATGTTATTTTTATTTCCGATTTGTTAATGTTGAAATTTTAAGTTTCAAATTTTATTAGAAAATCGTAAATTATAAAAACATCGGCTATTAAGAAGTCTCAACGGCTCTTCATGGGGTTTTTCGGCGAATGCCTGAGTTCAGTCTTCACGACGCTGCAATAAAAATGTGTGAAAAGAGTAAAATGTTTATTTCAAAAATCTGTTTGATGAAGAACGAATTGTGAGCACTCTACAGAAGCAGTAAAATGCAACTTTTACAAATTTTAAAGTAAAATATTAAAAGGGTTCTGTTGTTTAATTGTAAATAGAATAAAATAAAGAGATGTAAAAATAACAAATATATGTATAGTATATTTAACAATTAATATAAAGTTAAAGTAAAATTCGTTTTAGTTTTTACAAAGTTTACAGTTTTAAATGTCAGCTGGGGGTAGGGTATCAGCTAAATCAATGGAAATTAAATTGTTTTGTTTAACACATTCTTCGAGGGGAATCTGATGAATTTATCGTTGCTTATTTATTCTCGTTTTTTCTCGCAATTTCTCATTGGTGTTGCGTGCAAGCATGAGCTGCTTAAGTTTGGCAGCTTTTAGAATCACTTACTTCTGCAGCGAGCCAAGTGAAAATTGAAAGCGTTGCATGGTTAAAATTGAAAAATGAAAAGTGCGCGAGAAAATGTGTAGTACGAGCGAAAATACGGCAACGCAGCGTTCCAAATGCGGGGTAGAGTGTTCGCGTTGAATTTTTGCGGCTAAAAAAATAATTTTAAAGAATTGGCTACGAGGCGTTAGTTGCAATTGAAATTAGAACGCGCCTTTATGTAATACATATATAAATTGTAATATATGTGTATGTAAATATGTATGTATGTATATAATCAAAGCTGCCAAAATGACAGCGCTATTATTTTTAGTTTTTTTGTTTAAGTAGAAGGCATGTGTGCGTGCTCTTAGCTAATTGACAAGTGAAATATTGAAACAAGATAAAAAGGACAAACAATTATTTTTACAACACCACAGCATGCGGCAGTGAGCGCCTTTTATGGGCTGTATTAGCTAGACGGATACTGTTTTTATTTGTGTTTTTTACAACAATGCGGGGCTGATGAACTCTTTTGCCGGCAATAACCTAAAATTGGAACTGCTCACCACCAGCGCTAGCATATAGACAAGTACATATACATATGTATTATATTGATGAAGGATAAATGTCGACTTATCTATGTATTATATATGTATGTATAGTAATATATTCAGTATTTTTTTCAATTTATTTAAAATTTATGGTGTGGTTGCAGGCCAAAGGCGTAAATAATAATTATAACTTTCGGTCACACATCAAAAAATTAGGTCAATAAACACACTGATATTTACATGTCTACGGTCTCTATACGATTTATGCATGCAAACATACATACATACAGCTACAGTTGTAAGCCGGTA